GAGAGAGAGAGAGAGAGAGAGAGAGAGAGAGAGAGAGAGAGAGAGAGAGAGAGAGAGAGAGAGAGAGAGAGAGAGAGAGAGAGAGAGAGAGAGAGAGAGACAGTGAGGAAGAAGGAGGAGGAGGAGGAAGAGGAGGAGGAGGAGGGAGGAGGGAGGAGGGAGAAGGGAGGAAGAAGGGCAGAGGGAGGAAGGGAAGAGGGAGGAAGGGATTACCTGTGTAACAGCCTGGCTGTCCTAGATCTCCCTATGTAGATCAGGCTGGCCTTGAACTGGGAGATCCTCTTTCCTCTGCCTCTCGAGTGCTGATACTAAAGGAATGTGCTACCACTACCCCAATCAATATGACATCTTCATATGTGTACATAGTTTTATCATATTTACCCCCTCATCTTCTACCCCTAGAACTTCCACTCTTCCTTCCTTGTCCCAAGTAGCCTTCTTGGATTTTCATGTTTTCTTTTTTGTTGTTGTTGTTTTGTGACCAATGAGATTCACTAGGGTGGCTATAGGGGGAGTAAGTGAAGGTAGGTTTGTTTATATCAAGGATATCTTATCAGTAGATGTACCCCCTAGTAAAAATGCCTTTCCTTCCCACATCGACCTCATTAATTACTTAGATAAAACCTCATGGAGGGGTGGGTTCCTATGAGCCTCTTCTCATTCCATGTCCAGGATGTTTCTAGATCCTACACGGTGCAGATGCTGTGCAGGCAAATCACAGCTACTGTGAGTTCAAGACTGAAAGAGCCATATCGTGCTCAGACATCTGCGTTCTTTACCATTCCCCAGCTTCCTCCTGCTCGCTCAATTCTTTCTGCCTTTTACTCATTGGTGTTCCCTGAGCCTCAGAGGGGCTGATATACATGGTCCACTTATGGCTGAGCATTACATAGTCACTTGTCTCAGCACTTGGACCACTTATGAGGCTCCAACCTGCAGGAGTCTTGTTGGCTGGTTTTCTCATCTGTTTCTACCACAGTGAAAGAAATCCCCCTTGGCTTCACCAGCACTTGGGGCTTTTGTGATTAATTCACCCACTTGCTTGGGAAGTTCTCTCCATCTGAGAAAATTAAAAACACCACTCTCAGGACAGGAATGTGGGATCATAATGGGAACCAAACAGATATGAGTCTGCCCTGTTATGGGTGTATACTCAACATTCATCAAAGAGCACAATGTGTGGCCTATTCTGGTGCATTCCTCTCAGACAGCCTAAGTGCCCAGCTCTCAATAATATAATTTCTGCAAAACTGAGAGGAACCAGCAACTCTATTTTTGAATGTAAATCTTAATTTTTCCCGCTGTAACAAGTTATATTTACTATCATGCTAATTCTAAAAATGTTCTCAGTACTCTTCTATCCTAATTCCCATGAATGCGCTCAAGGCGATTCTACCCAACCTAGGAAGACTAAGAACTTCAAGGAGCTCCTTAATAGATGAGCACTGCTGAGTTTAACTCCCCCACAAACCTCTAGACACTACATACATCTAAGGGTGATATCCAAGGCAGGTCTTAAATGCTTAGTCTCAAGATATAAAATACACACACTCATGGGCTCCTGATAATTAATGAGACAAGCCATAGGGAAACCCCCTCTAGCCAGTGCTGCTGTGTGCAAGGAAATCAGGCACCCTGGTCTGCACAGGATTATGCTCCATGCTTGTATTTGTAGGCCTTCCAGTTCCATTTGTCAGGAGTAAGGGCTGGGCCACGATTTTAGAGTTAGGATACAGGAACTAAGTGTTAAGGGAAAAGCAGGTTCTCTACAGGATATACCCTTAGTTCATTTCTGGTATTTGTTTAATTTTGACTCTGAGCCCTCATTATAAAATATGATGTTAATCTCTCTCTTTCTGGGTTTCCTTCAGGATCAGACTTCAATTAACCAGCATTTTTTGACACTAGCCACCCATGGGTCAATCAGGATGGAGGAAAAAGTCAAGAGGAAGGCTGGTGTTTGGTCAGTTTAAAATCAGCCATGGTTACCAGAAGTCCTACTTACTGATCAGCGAGAATTTTGAAAAAGATCCAACTTCTGTGCTTGCTGTCTCTGTAAACTAAATGACACTAATACGCCTTTGTCTTTGGAGAGTGATTTATAGTTTACAGAGACACATGATCTCATTCAATCCACTCCCCCTTCTCTCCCAGGGACCCCATGAGGCAGGGGAACCACCACTATGAGATAATGCTGGAGCAGCCTGGGAAATTCCACCATAGGTGATGGATGATGGGGGATTGTCTGGGCCCCTTGGCTCTCCCCCTCACTATGGGCTTTTGTGATTAATTCATCCACTTGCTTAGGAAGTTGCTCTCCATTTGAGAAAATTAAAAACACCATTCTCTGGACAGGGATGTGGGATCATAAATGGGAACCAAATAGAAAAAGATTTACACAAAACACAAGCTCAGCAAAAGAGAAAACTCTGACATTGCTAATAAGGAATAAATCAAGTAAAGGCTATTAGCAAGCCCCTAGTGTGTATGGAAGACTTTAAAATGTTTTGCTGAGCTCTTAACAATGTCATTTCTACCTGAGGTGTTCAGATAGCTCTAGGGTAATTCGGCCTGCACTGTTCAGCACTGCTGTGGACACCTGCCAGCAAGGAAGACCTCACACAAAACCCCAAGAGTGCTAGAGAGGGCCTGCGGATGTCTATAATCTTTAGGGCTGTAGGGTCTTCCTCAAACAGTGCTTCCTATTCAAGAGGATGAGTGGGTGGCTGTCTGGGAGGCAGAAAAGACATACAGATGGACTTAGGTATTTTGCTAGTGAGGCTCAGAAAGGCGCAGGGCTTGCTCCTCTGCCTGTGGCCATGAGAACTACTGGGTCATACAAACAAGCAGGTCACAACTGGGATGACATATGATTTCTTCAACCAACCCAGAGAGCTTTCTGGACTCTCCCTCTTCCATTTTCTCTTATCAGAAGTTAAAAGGCACTAGCAATGTCAGCTGGCAACACGGGTGGTCAGTGGGGACCTGTCCTGGCGGTGTGTGGGTGGATGTATTAGTGTCTGTGGGATAATCAGGGGGAGGAAGCATAGAGAGTATGCGACCTATCCTCTGAATGAGTTTATCAAAAATGAGAAGAGACAAAAGATCACCCTGCTGTAGGCCAACTCCTGCCAGTCCCACTCCATGCCAGCCACTGGGGGCATGCTACCCAGAGAAACTGGCTCTATCTAGGCTTCCTGGATAGTGAGGCAGAAGGTACAAATAGGTCTTAAGACCAACCTCGCACTCTAAGCAGTGGCTTTTTTCCTTATGTGTTCAGCTGGTTCTTCCCCTCTGTTTGGATTTGTATAGAGAAGATATTGTGTGTCAGAGTGGCCAGCCTTCCCTTCAGAGAACAATACTCATTAGCCTCTAGCAGACACATCTAACCCTCTGACACTGTGACATGATGCCATCTGTAAAGTTTGCACTTGAGAACGGCACTATTGAGTTGTAAAAATAAAACTGCAAAAGTAGTATCTCATCATGTTTTGAGTGGGTGTATGCTTTTGTGTTGAGCCAAACTCATCTCTATTTTAGGTTGTGTGTAGCCTGTGGGCCAAGGGTGGGCCATGCCTACAGCTCCCTGATAGTGTTGCTTTAAACTATTCTCACTTTCAGTCAGGTTCTTGGTTCCTGTCATCACTAAACAAGGCCTCTGTGACTCCAGTGAATTATGCCTAAAGCAGAAGCATGAACAGAAAGGTTGTCCCTGCAGAGTTTGAGTGCCAATGAGAGTGACTTGAGGCAGTGGTAACTTGCAGGGCACCTGAGCAGTGGCTAACATGAGGTGACAATGATTTAATACAGGCTGTATGGTTCAGCCCAGATATTACTGGTGTCTTACAAACTGTCTGGTAAGGAGCCCATGTCCATGTTGTTTGCAAAGGCAAGACCGTATTCTTTAACAATCCTGCCCTCTTTCTGGGATTTTAAAGCTCATAGGTGAGTGTTCTCCCTCACAGGATGGTGTTTCCTTGACAGCAAGGCTTCTCATAGCCTGCTCATCTAGAGCACAGTTAGGTCATTCCATCAACACTTTTTGCTCCTACTGCCACAAATTCAACAAACATATACAGTAGGCTTGGCTGGAGCAGGACCATGACAGAAGTGTCTACAGGGTCTTGGATTTTAATATATGGGGACAAGAGACCATACATAGCATTGGGCTGCTTCTTTCTAAGCTTGCCTAAATCAGTCTGCCACTGATTTGTCCAGTTTGGGATAGGCTCTCAGAGTTGTCAGAGGACATCTGTATCTTGAACCTCTCCAGAGGGCATCTGTGTCCACCTTACTCAATGTCTTCAATAGTGGGACTAGAAAGTCATTTTGTTCAAATTCCAAAGGTTGGGTGCAGTGGTCTGTCAACATGGATACCATAACTCATCTCCACCCAACCAGAGTTGAAAGGCACCTTGTACCCAGCATGCTCCAGAAGGAGACCCTCTAGGACACATAACCCATTTCATTTCTGTAAGGTGGATTCTCAAGACCCTCAAAAGCCTGCCTCCTCTGGCCAATGTCAGCTGAAACTATGCTCAAGTCAGAAACATGTGCTGAGACTGTGGGATAATTTGTGATTTCTAAATAACTGCATCCATCCCCATTGCTTCCCAGAGAAGAGGCCAGCCCTTCTGCTACATGATATTGAAACTGGCTGTCCATGACTCCCAAGAGCACACAGTCCATTCTTGCTAAGTGTGCATGGATTTCTTTCAGAAACCTCTGCAGATTCTTCAGTCAGACAACCGGGCAGGGGGGCACTATCCTCTTTTGCTAAGATGTTTCTCAGCCTATGATTCATGGTGTGTATAGCTAACTCTTGGGCCACTGGAGCCTGGTACTCACCCTGTGGAAGGGTTCATGATGCAGCCTCCTTTCTCCGCAGCCATTCTGCAGCTGCAGCCCCTTTCCAGTGTGTCATGGTTCATTCCGAAGTTGTGGCCCAGCTCATGTGCCAAGGTCACTGCAGCACCAAGGGGGCTGTCTGAATGGTCCTCAAAGAAAATACAAGAGCAGAGATTTACAGTTCACATCTGCTTGGCCTTTTCTAGCCCATCTTCCCTCCCCTTGGCATTTGTTCGTCATTAACACTTGGTTTAACTCAATTCCCCGTAAAGGCCCAATATAGAGACTTGCTATTAACTTTGACCATGGGAAGTAATTTGGCCTATTTCATTAAGCCCATTTGGGGGTTCTTCTTTTGAGCGCCATCTTATTATACATGAGGATTTTTGCTGATCTCTTTTCTGCAAAACACCACTGAGAAAGGCAAAAAGTTATTCCTAATGATAGAAAAAAAAGGCTGCCTGATTAAGAGGATGCTGAATAAAAGCTGGTTTCAAATCAACCCTGAACAGCTGGACTTAACCCTGTTTCTTCCTTTCTGCCTGGTAGGGAATGACTCTGGGAAAGTTCTTGTCAACCTACAGAAACAGCCGATCGTGTAACATAATTTACTGGAAGGTTGATTGAATTAAGATTACAATTCAGTTCTGTCTCAGTCTTGCTGGCCCTTTAAGTTGACCTTGGACATAGAGAAAGAAGCCCTGATTTTCTGATGGAGCTGCAGGGATTCACACTGACCTTTTGCCATCAGCAAGCACTGCTGGCCATCTCTGGCTTAATAGCTTACTATCCTTGTTGGATAGCTTGGCTCAAGTAGATATTTAAACACAACTAAAATTACAGTTATTTAATTTAATCTCAGATTGGTTAATTAGTTGATGTAATTTATAGAAATTCTGCCAGTGAATGAACTTTTGGAAAGGGTGTTCATACCTTGAGGGGAAAGGAATATCTTCCTTGAATTTTGGTTTGTGTTACCCAGGAAAGAGATAACATGTTTCCAAAAACATGTCCAGAAGAGAGTATTGTATTGTGTTTTAGAAAAATCTCTTCTTTCCAGTCTTCCTGAGGACTCTGGGTAAAGGTGTGTTTCTGTGAGAGCCGGCAGATGCTATAGATTTAGGGCAGGGCTGTCACTAGCCTATTGTCTGGGACACAATAGCAGGTCTAGAAAGCAAGCTGTTCCTAGATGAAATTCCTGATAGATGACTACGTTTACATCTCACACTTTCCTGTTGTAGAAGTACTACAGATTTTACATTTCAAGAAGTCAATTCTTTTTTTTTTCCAAAGATTTATTTATTTATTATGTATACAGTGTTCTGCCTGCTTGTATACCTGCAGGCCAGAAGAGGGCACCAGATCTCATTATAGATGGTTGTGAGCCACCATGTGGTTGCTGGGAATTGAACTCATGACCTCTAGAAGAGCAGTCTGTGCTCTTAGCCTCTGAGCCAACTCTCCAGCCCCCAGGAAGTCAATTCTTAATAACATGCATTAGTGAGGAGAATAATGCCGCAGTAACATATGGAGGGCTGAGTTTTGTTAACATGTTTAGCAAAAAAATTCAAGGAACTTGTTCCTCGAGAATACTCAACTGCTGACTTTTTTTTTTCTGTCCAGTGAGTTATCAGTTTTATCTTTCATTTTTGAGTTGTTTTACATCATGCATAGATGATAATTTAGAATCTGTCTTAAGGACTACTGATAAATCCTTTATAACTACTTACAATTAGGGGAAAAACATTTTTGTGTGTTTGATATTATGCCCAAATTAACATTTTTTTAGGTTAGTTAGGTACAAAGCATGGCTTTAAATTACTAAAACTCATAGTTGACTTATCTTGAAAAAAATGGGAAAATGGTTTTAGAAATCATGTTTTCAGCTCTATAAAGGTTCCTCCCTTCTTGTCAACCACTTTCTTTCTCTATACTGAGGGTCCTTGGATATGGTGATGGTTGTACCTAACACACATGAATCCAACTTCAGGACATAGTAACAGAAAGCTAGTGTCGATGTTTTAGGTCTGAACAGGGTATTTGGTTTTGTTGTCTCATGAATCCTACAGAAGTTTATGCTGTTGTACGAAGGTAACTCCCATCCTATTTGGAATTTCTCTGTGGGATAAAGACAGTGTGTGTAAAGACACTCTCTGCCATCTAATTGGTAAAACCAATTTCTTTAAAAATTTTATTTTTTAATTACGCGTGTATATGCCTGTGTCTGTGTGTGGGTTTGCCTACAGAAGTGCCGTGTCTATGGAGCCCAGAAGTGGGCATTGGGTCCCTTGGAGCTGGAGTTACAGGAGGTCAGTCAGGAGCTGCCTGACTTGGGTACTAAAAGCCAAGCCCATGCATGTCCTCTGGAAGAGCGGCACTGTGAGCTCTTCATTGTTGAGTCATTTCTCCATCCCCCTTGATAATTAACCTTGGACCTGACTTGACTCTCCTGGCATGACACATAAGTGGCATTTATTCTCATGTTCTGTTCACGTATTTAAAATAAAATAGTTTTTTCTTCTTCTGAATGATTTTTAAGGAGGGGCTTCTGGTTATGACTTTTATGAAAACAGAGCAAGGAATACAGGCTGACAAGTCCTTTACCCAGTCATGAAGGACATGGGGTGCTTCAGGCCCCTGCAGGGGCAGGATCTGCTTTATTTATGAAGAACTCTATTTTGGCTCCTAAATGTATTTGTGCCAGTTTTAAGTGGCTAAGTCAGTAGCGACTAACTATGGGACCATGAAACTGAAAATTATTCCCTCTTAAAATTTTACAATCTGTTCTATGAAAACATAGCTGTGATCTGACTTGAAATTAACCTGGCACCAGCAAAAACCCAAACTTTCCAGTGACTTCCATGGTGGAGATCACCGGCAGGGCTTCCCTGTTCAAAGGAAACCTGAGAGGAGCCGGTTCAAGCCAGCCATCCAGCGAGTGGGTGCAGGCCCTCCACATAGCCTGCCCACGCAGTACATGCTTGCATAAATTACCTACCACTGCTCCCAGACGGGAGGAAAATGTTTATGTACCCTCACTAGAAAGATTAGATTAGGCAATATGCAGAGAAAATAACACTCAGCAGAATGTAACTGTTTCCACCCTTTACTACTACACTCAGGAAGCTCCATATGGAGGGTGGGAGGGAGTCATGGCTTCTTGGGAGGGCAAGAGTGTATTTATTTAATGGACATAGAGGGACAGGCTCCAAGGATACTCCTTGTCTGAGAGCCTGTACTAGTACTGGACACTAGATTCTCAAGGGACAATCTGGTATGAGAATCCTTTCTAGAACTTTCAGAAGGGTTAGAGTGGGAGGGAGCCCCCCTGTTGGGCAGCAAGTCTAAGTTCCTTCCATTAAACGCATAAGAAATCTCAAACATGCTTCTCGTTGTACTTCCTTCTACAAACATATATAGCCCCATATATGACAAACTTAGCCCTGTAAAGCAATAAACCCAGGCTTCTGCCTTCCAAGAATAAGGTTATGATAAAGACAAATTGTGCTCTGGCCAGAAGGTATGGAAAGCATTTGCAATGGTACGTAGTGAAAAACCTCAAACTTTTGACTGTTGGGCGCAGGGGAAGAACCATCAAAAAATCACTTGAGTGGCAAAATTTGGTGAGACCACAGTCTATCCCTCTCTCCCCTCCCACCAAATTGAGCACAGAGGGCAACCCCCATGTCCTGGCTCATCCCAACATCAGGAAACTTTCCCAGGTTGAGATACTTTGACCAACAGTCCCAGTTGAGATATTTCTCCACAGAAGGGGCCACTCTTCCATGTCTGCCTTCTCTGAAGACCATCTGTGTCTTCTAAACTGTCCCCCACATGTGGGAAAATAAATCATAAATATGGGTAGAGTAAAAGTTAGAGGCAAATCTAGAAAGCATCAATGGGAAGGAGCTGGCTTCAAGAAGTCTGACAAGAGTAGATTTCCTAGGGGAATCATTTGATAGGGAAGATATTTCCCAGACATCTTTGGCTTACCATGACAACTCCTCCAGACTGTTCTGCAGTGCACATGCTCATGATGGGTGCCATGCCGATGGTGGTTCCTTGGAAATAAACCCCACTACAAAAACAAGAGGAAGGACTTCCTTTAATCTCACACATTTACGGGTGCATTTCCCGACATTTCAAATCTTGTTAGGCAGGCCTGCCACAGAATGTTCAATGATGCAAACAGCCCCAGGAGGGGGTATTTACTTGAGACTTTTATCTTCTTTTCATTACACTTTACTTTTCCAGTTGCAAGACAGTCCCATAATTCTTTTAGAGTTTTGCTGTCCAGACTCAGACAGCGGCCAGGCGTTACTTTGTATTTATAAGTTGTAGTCTGCCTGCTTCCTGGAAGGAGCTTTCCTTTGAAACAATGCCTGCTGATGGAAAGGCTGAGAAGTCACCAGGAATCACTGTTTGCTAAAGGAAACATAGGAGACAGCTTGGGAGATTTTCTGCTGTAGCCAGAGTTTGCTTTCCTGTGTAACTCATCATCTCCAGACACGGAATCCTTCAAAGTGTTCTGCCAATATAGCTTTTGAGACTGAAATCGGTAGAGAAGCGATCACTTCTCCAGAGCTAGTGTATAGCAAGTAAGTACCCACAAAGCCTTGACATCAGGGAGGAAGCTTCGGGAAGGGAACTTTCAGAAGGCATTCTTTTATCTGGAATCTCAACCTAATCATGAATCTAATTATAACAATCAACTGTCTCAGTGTGTTTTTTAATCCCAGCCTCGTGTGTTAAAATGTTAAGGCTGTATTTGTTGGACTCCTACAAAGTAATCAAGTCACTTAGTCATGTTATGTTGGCCAGCTACTAACAGAAAATGTAGTTATAGTTTGAAAAGTCAAACATGGGGCTGGAGAGATGGCTCAAAGTTAAGATAAGAGTTGCCAGGTCTTCTAGAGGACCTGGATTTAATTCTTAGCACCCACAACTCTCAGCTCACAACTGTCTGTAACTCTAGTCCTAGGGGATCCAATATCCTCTTCTGGTCTCTGTGGGCATCAGGTACACGTGGTGCAAAGAAATACATGTAGACAAACACTCATACATGTAAATAAAATAAAATGAAATCTTCACAATGATTGCTACAGAGGTAGCAATTTATTGCTATAATAAATACCATTGTTTCTATGGCACTAGAACCATCCCTTGTTATCCATGAAGATTAAATGTTGAATCTTCTGTGGGTACCACAACTCACAGATACTCAATTCCTTGCATAAAATGGCATTGTGTTTGCATAGAACCTATGCATCCATACAATCCAATCTCCTGCTCACTTGTCCTTAGTGCAATCTAAGTTGTCTATCAGTCATTACACTGAATTATTCAGAGATGACAGAAATGAAGGTCTGCACATGCTCAATAAAGATACAACCTCTCCTCTGAACATTTCTGGTTTGGGGTTGGTTGGATCCACGGGTGTGGAACCCTCAGATGTGGAGGGCCAACTAAACACTCATATTCACATTAGTAGGCACTTCATTCAGCCTTTGTATTTACAGCTGCCCATATACCCAGACCATATGAATGGTTACAACTATATATACAAGTAAATTAAGAAGGTTAAAGATGTTAACTTATTTCCAGATGTTTAGGTTGGACAGATTCCTTTAGTGGGAAAAAACAAAAACAAAACATTCCAACTTAAAGTACATGAGATGTACTTTCAACAGTGCAGGGCTGATTAGTGCATGAAATGGGAAGAAACCAATCACATCTACAGGGGACCCAGGAGAAATGGCTAGAGTAGCTGATCAGGGACCACCGACTGACTGAGGGTGGACAGAGGCATTTCCTAAAGGGAACACAGGGCAGAACCATCTTGTTCCCCCCTCTCATGAATGTTCAACAAGCTGGATATGACTGGCCAAAGAACAGGGACCCTTGTGTCTGAAGGTTTTGCTTTGGTGATTTAAGTTACATGAGAACAAACAAATAATAGTATAAAGTACCTAAAGATTAAAACAAACATGTGCCATTTCTGAAAACATCTGCTTCCTATGGATTCAGGCTAACATAGGGACATTCTCTTCTTTTAAATGCAAAGGTGCCTGGAGCCACTCACCATATGCTGTGGGACCTCTCCCTTCATTTCACACCCCCATAGCACTTGCTACTCTAATGATTTCTAGTCTTCTGCTTTCTCTCAGCAGACAGATATTCCTCAGAGCAGGAAGGTTTAATACTGGCCACTTATGTTCAAAGCACCTACCTGGGTCCTAGAAGGTACCTAGTGGATACTGACTGGGTGAAGATCACTAGGTCAAGATGATACTCAATGACCTGGAAAGCCAGAGAGAACTCTTCCAACAGAGGAAAAAGGCCCTAGGTGTTTCCCCAGGTATCTGACAATCTTCTCTCATATGCCTTGCTCTCAGATCTTGTAAAAATATGGATTTTTTCCACTAATGATAGATTACTTGAGGCAATCTTATTAAGACTAATACCAGAAAAAACTAGCATAGAGGAAAATACCTAGTTATGGGGGCAAGAGTACGGGGTGGGGGACCATAAATGAGAGTCCTTCAGGGAGACAGGAGTCTTCCCCGATGGATGTGTGACACCAGGTAGGGATGCTCTTGGCCATGATGAAGGCTGGGAAGCAAACTTTTTGAAAGAACCAGTATGCTGTATTGGCAGATGTGGCTCTGGTGAGCCCAGGAAAGTATGAGGGCATGGTGGTGCATCTTTAATAGAAGAAGACAGCACTGCTCACCTGATAAGCTGAGCGTTGTCGTGGGATTTTCGAGGTAGAAGCTTTATTTTTCTCCAGTCTAGAAACTCATGCAGACTGGTGAATGGGTCCTGGCTTATAGAGCATTTGTCGATGTCATTCCACACTTCCACTCCCACCAGCACGATCCGGATGTTTAGTGGTCTGTAAAACTAAGAGAATGGGCATCCTTGGAGGATCACAGTGTCAGAAACTTAAAGAGAGAACTGGAACTGATTTCACTGTTTGCAGTTCATTCTTGAAAGTCAGAAAAAAACCTTTCTGTGCACCTTTGTTCCCATGGCAACAGAGTTTAAGAAATAGTCTTTAGACTGGATGCAAAGTGGAATGTTAACTGGACTCTCGAATGTTGACCAATTCGAAGCTAAAGTTATTAGCCATTTCTTCCCTGCCTGCCTGTATGTGCATGGAAACAACTTGCCATGATTTAAATATGCATATAGATGTAGGCTACCATTTAACATGCTGGAAATTAATATCTACTGCAAGAAAAAACAAGATGAAGATCATTCAGACACCTCTGCCAATAATAATAATATTTTCATTTCAAGTACAGTGTTCTGACTGTGAGATACTGAAAATGAATCTGAATTTCTCAGCAAAGAAATTGGATGACTTTGTCATGTTCTATCACCTATCAAATTAGTAAGTTTAGTGCCTTTCAGAATAACAGAAGCATAGATAAAACCTTCTGCAGTAAATTTATGACCATATTTTTCTTACCATATCAAAAAATGAGATGGAAAGATATGTCATGTGGAGCTCTTCTCACAGGAGCTTGAGAGAGAAAGCTTTGAGCAGACTCAAAGGGAGTCTTCTCTTTCATCCCTACATATAGGGAGTAATGGCTTCAACCAAAGCCACCTTTCCCATCCATAGGATATGGGGGAAGACAACTCTTCTAGTTGTCAAAGGATAGACTGTGTCTTATCTAAGCTTGGAGGGGCAGCATGAGTGGCTAGCCAACATGAAATACACATCTCTCCATCCTGGGCTTGATGCTGAGGGGCTTCTAGGCCCAGAGTTCGGGCCACAAATCAACTATACAGTTAAGAACTGATATCATTCCTTTATAGTCAAGACGGTAAGGCTGGTCTTGCTTCCTATGCTTCATAACAGCATACTGACAGGGAGATAACTCTGTGATCACAGCTAAGAGATAAGGACACAAGTCACCTTGTTGCCCTATTAATCTCTTGATGCCAATGGCATACAAGTCCACATGCATCAAGAAAGTCCCTTTCACCCTGCTTCTGAGACCCTAAATATGCAAGGAAACAAGTATAGCTTTATAGCCAATTCCAGAGGGAGGCAGATCCTTTAAATTTCTAGTAACATCTGTCCAACAAGGAACAAGAATCCCAGCAGCTTGGCATTTGGGAATTAAACATCATTCCAACGTGGTGAGCTGAAGTGCAAGGAACTCCCTAAGACTGAGCATCTGACCCCAGATTCTCAACCCCGTGCAAGGAAGCTCATCTTTTCCCTTGCCGATCCCCAGGGTCATATGGTGAACACTGGGTCAGCAGAAGAACTCAAAGAACTCAGCTGGGGCGCAAATTATGTCACAAGCTATTTTGATTGCAGTGGTCCAAGTTGGGGTTAAACAGATAACAAAGACCATATGAAATTAATACATTAATGAGACAATTACATAAGCAAAATGCTCTCCGATGGTATGTGGTATGTTTTTCATCAAGAAATCACACGACTTGTGCCTATTTGCAAACTTCCAGCCCGAGTTTCCCAGGAAAAACAGTTCCAAGATCATCCTGAATGATGCCTGCTCAAATCAGGGGCACCCCTCAAGATGACATCCCTAGCTGTGTCATATACAAAAGTCACAATGATCAGAAAACAAATATTCAATGCTCATGTTTATGGCAACTTTCTAAGAGGGTCCCTAGGGCCAGATATCCTGAGTGGCCTTGAGGGTTATCTTCTGAGAAACTGTTTCTCAGTGTCCTCCCAGGAGTATTGAATTAAAGCAGGAGCTAATGTCTGCTCAGGCCTAACCTATCATCTTTCTCAGTACTAACTTAACAACATACTGATCAGGGAGGCTGTTCCTACCAATGGAGAGGTTGTATTTCTCTGTGAGCTCTCTCAAACCACATCCTAGCACAGACTTCAGGCTTAGTCAACTCCTCTCTAAAGTTGGTACTGTTGGTTAACTTCCTGTGTGCTCTGCCTACAGCAAGCCTTTATTCACTGTTCGTTACTACCTTCACGGGATGTTCTTCCTTGGTTTGCCCACAGGTCATCTTGGTTCTTGTCAGTAAAGTTTAATGAGCACAAGTACAACTCTGACTTGGTGCCAAGGTGCTTTCTCAACCCTGGTTTAGTCCACAAAGCAATTCTCTGAGTTAGGAATTGTTACTGCTCCCATTTTAGTGTCAAGATGCTGAGGCTCAGAAGGGCCAGGTAAATTATTCACAAATTATTAACTACAGAGCTGGGCTGGTACACAGACAGGATGACTCTGATGTCATGATTTGAATAATTAAAACTGCCATCCACATTGTGAGTACTGTGACTCCAGACTTTCAGAAAAGCTCACAGGCTTATGTAGGTCAAACGGAGCTCGGCAGCTGCCTGCCTGGCTCTGGGATCCCAGAATGTATGTAGACACAGTCAGAGACCCACATGAGTGACTGTCCGATATACACAACAGCCAGAATTGTCTGCTGTTGGTTCTTCCTGGGTGCAGGAATGTGGCACAAGCAGAACAAATAAAGATTAAAATGGCCTGGCCCTGATTCAGCGGCTCAGAGGTTAGCACAAGGCTTTAGGGCACAGGACATGCTACCATGAATCCGGTTAACTGATATGCTATCCCACTAAGCAATAGCACCAACAGGAAGTCCAGAGAATGCTGTGGTGGAGGAGTTAAAACTTTCTGGAAGGAATGAATGAGAAATGAGGGAGGTAGAATTCCCTAGGGACCCAGGAGAGCTTGCATTCTTCAGGCAACTGGCCTGGGAGGAGGAAGAGAAGGGGCGGTCACAAGACTAAAGACAGCAAAAGTAATTCAGACTCCTTCAGAGGATGGCTATTGAGGCTTGGAGCTGACGTCACAGCTTAAAAAGACTGGAGTGATGGCTTCAAGATGCGAAGTTTCAGTCCACAGACACTCACTCTGCTGTTCCTGTGGCAGTGGAATCAGGACCCAGAAAAGATGTCCCAAAGTGTTTCCTAGAAGCATGAACATCAGGTACCTATTCTGTTCCTGTTACCTGGGATTTTCTGGCCCTTTTTAGGACTTCACATTTGTCTCTAAGTCACTTCTCTGTCTTCCAGTCTGAAGCTTTTTCTTTCTTCAAACCAGTCCAGCTAAATGGTTATTAATTTAGAATGCCTAAACCCAGCCAAGATGTCAGCAAAAGAAGTGGCCACTGAGACAGTCAATGAGTTTTGGGCTGAGACTATCCCAAGAGTGTAGTTGCGAAACTGAAACTGGGAAGTCTGAGGTTGCTTGGAGCCAACAGCTATGGATACAGAGTTGCCCAAGGAGTCTGAGTGTCTTCTCCAGGGTCTCTAGGAGCTGTAGAAAGGTGAACAGGCATACCAGGGATAAACATGTCTTTGTGCTCAGCAAATTGGCTCAGCCCTCCTTTGTCCAGGCTGGCACACTTGACTGAGCCCACTAGGTCTTCTAGAATCATACTGCTCTTTAATGACTCACAAAAGCTATTGACAGACCCCTTCCCCATGTGCTCATTTTTAGTTTTATGAACTGAAGCAAGGTAGAACCTAGAATAATATGTAAAGACAGATTAGACGGAAGACTAGGTTATCACTTCTTAAAATGGGGCTTCAGCAATTTCTAGTTAGATACTAATGCAGCCCACCATTTCCTTTTACTTCTGAGGGTCAGGATGAGTTCTCTCCCTCTTTAGGGAAGAGGAGGTGAGGGCTATCAGATGACAGTCTGTCTTGGTGAGGTTAGCTTGCAAGCCTGGTCTCTTAACTACTTAACCCTTTCACTTTCTGTTGCTGTGTCTCTGTTTTATGTCACCTATTTTAGGCCAACTCTGGATGGATCTGTATCAAGCCTCTCCCCAGGTCAATCAGAGAAGAACAGGAAGGATAAGATTTAGGAAGCATCATTTTAAAGGGTAGTCACATGAACAAACAAAATGCTCCAGGGAATTCTAGCACCTCAGCCTGGTTGTGGTCCTGCTTTTCCATTTTAGACAGGTCTCAGGTAGCCCATGCTAGCCCCAAACTCACTCTGTAGGTGAGGATGACCTTAGACTTCTGATCTCCTGCCTCTACCTTCCAAGGGCTTTTCAGCCAAGTTTCACCACGGCCAGTCTCTGTGGTGCCAGGGATGGGACTCAATGCTTCATGCATGGAAAGTGGGTAACCCACATCCTCAGTCACTATGACCCAGCTTTAACTCCTTTGAAATGCTTGACATATTTTCCAGAATCCATGCTTTATGCCACCCTCCCCAAAGACTGGTTCCCTAACCAGGATTCTCCTTTATCTTTCAACTTTAGGATACACAGTAATGTGCAAAGAGTTACTACTAAAACATACTTAAAAACCACGTGTTGATCCAGAGTTCAGTCTGCCTCAAGGGTCTGATGAAAGAACTGGGACCTTTGACAGTCTAAATTCCAATTCATCAGCTCCCACCCTAGCTGTGTGGATCCTGTTCACACACAAACACAAGCATGCATGTATACACAGACACACAGACACACAGACACACAGACACACACACCCCAGCAGGAATGAGCATGCATGTGTGCATACACCAACACACATACACACACACACACACACACACACACACACACACACACACACACACGTGCCCATGTTCTGTGACCACAAGGAGTTACCTACTGTATCTATATGGGGCAGGAGCAGACAAAGCCCTTCTCTGCTTTGAATACACCCATTCACCCACACTCCATCTTGCAAGATCACTGTTGTGTCTGTAATAACCCCTGTGCCTATCCCAGGGAAAGTGAGTGGCTCTCACCTGTAACTCTAGAGACCTCTGCTCACAGCACCATTGAAGAGCTGTGACTTGGGTGCAGGAGGAAGGGTTTCTATGTCTACCTGATATGGGTCTGCTGTGACAGCAAAAAGAAGGACTCCAAATCTGATGGCTTCTAAGTTCATGGTACATAAAACTCAGGACAGTGAGGTCTATAGGCTCTTGTAGAGTCTAGACAAAATTATGGAAGGGATTTTGCCTTCCTCCTTCTGAAAATGTTGAAAATGCAAATTAAACAGAACAGGATTGCTTGGAAAGAAAGATGTAGCAAGAAGTCTTTCCAAACTGCTCTGTGTGAAAGGTGGCCATGCCACAGAGGCCTGGCTGTGAGAGGCACAGTTTAGCCAGATCTTCCTTTTCATACAGATGTCATGAGTAGGAGATGTGTTTCCATTGAGAAGCTCAGCTTTGTCTCTTCCTTCCACTGGTGACATCTGTAGTGTAGCCCTGTACCAGGTGAATTCCTGGCTTTCGGCCCTGGAGCTGTCAGCAACATAGAATATGAGAGTCTCCAGGGGACATCTGAAAACACTCACCTACACCTCTGCCAGCAAACAAGAAGTCAGACAAGTCTTTCCAAGCCACCCCCCACCTCCCTCCCCAAGGAGTCATCTGTAAGCTGCTGAGAGAAGCCCTGCCTCAGATAAGAACCACCAGCCCCAAACAGTCAGATTCTATCTGGCAGGAGGGCCACTGAGAGAAGAGTACATTAGACAGAACCCCCCATTTCCTTGCTAGCAAGCTGTAGAAGGTACCAGACTCCCAGGGGCTCTTCCCCCCAGAAATCATCTTACAAAAATGGTGGTGGGGTCTCCCTTGTTCCCAGAGAAGGTCTTCCAATAGCTGTTGTTCTTAGAGGAAGTGTTCTCCAAAGAGCTTCTGCAAATAGCATGGTTCATCAATCCTTGACATGTGATTGGGTTGTGAAGATTTTGATGTAATCAAACAGCTATTGCCTGGCTTGAATAATATTAGGGTGCTATTACTGGGAGGCGGGGCCTAGTTTAAGAATTACAAAGGTGTGTCCCAAAAAGATACACCTGGGGGCCACTCCTTGTCTCTTTTGGTTCCCTGGCCACCACAAGTTGAGCAACCATCCCTCTCAGCCATGATAGTTAAGAACCTTGGAGCCAGCAGACCTCAGCCTGAAACTCCCAAAGCCATAAGTCAAAATAAAGGTACCCTCCTCAACAGTTTTTTTTTTTTTTTTTTACAAATATCTACCATATCAATGGAAGGCAGAGGAGTAAGGGGGGGGGAACTAACGTGGTGACTGAGCCAGAAGTCAGTTTCCGGGTTCTGGAAATGGAGCCTGTAGAGTCCACCCTCTAGTCCACACTGGTGCATTATGAACTCCACAGTTGGAAAGCAAAGAAGAGGCCAGGCTACAAATTCTTGAAGTTTCAATGCACCCTACCAGAATCCTGTCTAATGCATTGTCCAGAAAATCTCTTAGGCTGAAACACTTCCTGGCAAGACAAGATCCTAGAGGAAGCTGAGTCTCCAAAGCTATCAACGGTCCAGACCAGCTAGGGCTGGAATCTCCTAAGTTTCCCAGGACCTGGAAAGCACCTGCTCAGAGGACTGGCCACTCAGAGGACAAGCACAGGCCACAGTGGCAGGTTATGGTTTTTCTGCTCCATTAGAGAAAGTGTGCTTAATTTTCCCAACCTCATTTCTGAACACTGGCAGGATCCGCAGGATTTAATCACCTGCGAAGAAACTTACCTTGTCGACGTGATTGGCAATCTCTATTAATCGCTGCTTAACTTTCTCCAGATCTTTTCCTTGCCTCTGAAACTTAACAATTTTAAATGCCAGCATTAATAATGGTCAGAATATCAATCAGGATTCCTCCTCTCATATCCCGGGCTTTGGTGACACCTTGTACTCCTAGGGGACCCTCCAATACAGTACAAAGGGCTCTCATTGTGCCAGGTAGTTTCCTCCGCTGGGGAGTCCCTGCAGTTCCATAAACTGGTTTGAGCCAAGGTCTCACAGGACAGTAACTTCTGCAAATCCTCCAACTTCATAAATGATGGAGGAAGGGACATGTTTTGGCAAAGATAAAATGAACAACGGGAAGACTCTCCAAAGCCACTTTTCATATCATCGCCTTGATTTTATCTTCCTGAGATACTTCCTTTATACTTGTTTTTAAACATTAAATATGAGAAGCAAGAAAAACTCATGGCAACGTGTCCAAGGAGAATGGGGAAAAAATTAACACATTCTTTCCTTTAAGTTGACCTTCCAGAATGGGCAGAGTTTTCTGAGAACTTGTTAAGCTGTTTTCATTCTTGAGTGCTGAATGCACTTAGGAGAAAAATGTCACCAATTTATAGTATGTTAACAGAATGGTAAGAAACCATAGGGAAGATAATCTAAAGAAGACTGATTAAAAATAAATTTAAAGAAAAAAAAAACCAACAAGAGTGCAAAGCCATTATCACAAGGGGGAAGGATTCCTCTACCATGTTTGTATAGCATTCATTCATTCATTTATTCATTCAAATTAAGATATATCCAACTTTCCCCAAAATGTCAAAATGTAATTTAAAGCCAACTCTCATTCTTCCTAGATAAGTCTCCTTACTTAGAGAGTTTAGCTACAGTGAAACCCTGTGTTATTGGTGGGTTCACCAATTTTTACATTACACTAGATGCATCTTAAATGGTCTGTGCTTCCTCAGGTCAAAAAAAAAAGCTCATTTTTAAATTCTCATCTTCAATGTTTGTAAGAAGATATATCGACAGTGGAGGTAAAGCGAGTCCTAACTGGCCAGGTAGTTTCTCTCATTTCTTTTTGAGGCCAATTGTACAGAGGAGTTTTACCGGTCCTTACCTCTCTGTTGTCTGCCACAATAACCAGCTCTACATACTTGGTCGTCTTAAGGGTCTCTCTCTTATGCTGTCAAAAGAAAGTGAAAGTTTAGTTTCCCTTAATACTTCAAGGAGGTGTCTAGAACACTGTGCATGTCTTTCAAAAACAGAAACAAGACAACAATAGCAATATTTGGTGGGGAGACTCTTCCTCTCCTGGGCTTTGTGACTATGTACCCCCTAGAAGTTGACTCCCAGACTCAGTGATCTTGGGAAGCCTCAGGAGGGTGATCTGATTCCCACTTCCACATGGAAAACCCTAAAAAGGAGTTTAACATTCTTGCTGCCTCATTGATTATGAATTTAAAAGAAGTCATGATCATTTTTAAACAAAATGAACACATAAACATCTCCAAAGAGCATTCTAGAAAGAGGGCCAGCAAAAGCTTGCTGTTATAGATTACACATGGGTGTGAAGACCTCTAAAGACTACAGTGGAGCCCAGCCTGTCACTGGTGTTTCTTGAACTTTTATGGCCCATGTGCATCTGCTCCATGCTTTGAGGAAAGTAGAGGAGAACACACTTTGTAGAGAAACTGTGATTCCCTCTGGGAAATGCTGTATTCTTTTTGGGATGCTTGTGGCCAGTCATTTAAGAACATAGCTTGAAGCAGTAGAAGATGCTGATAAGCATAGAGACAAAGGTAGGTGCATAGATCAGGAAGAAATAGAATCTTTTAAAAGGCCTAGGGGATGACTTGGGAGGGTTGATATTGGCAAGAGTGGAACAGCTGAATGTGGAAACTGTGTATCAAGGTGCAGAACCCAGCCTCAGCAGTAGAGATATAGATCCAAACAAGATGGTCTCTGAGGCAGGATATAACATTTTAATCAAGCTTCCTCAGAAAGCATTTGCACTCTTCTGTAAATTACTGGGAGGATCCCAAAGGCATTTTTTTTTTAGGGGAAATAAAACAATTCATGGAGGGTGGTCTCAAAAAACTCAAACATTGAAAACAAAAAGAAGCAAAGCCTTCTGTTTCTGCAATAACACACAGTTGAAGGAAGTGGGGGTTGTGCTTGTCTCTGGTCCTTCCCAACCAAAAATGCTGGTTTATGACTTAAGTCTCATACAGGGCTTAAGCTGAAAACTCAATGTTACAACCACTTGTCCAGACAAAAGCAAAAGAGATGAAGGCATGCTTTGAATCAGGTTTCCAGTCACATAATCCAGAGGGAAACATCTTTCATAAAACAAATCTCCAGCAGTCCAGAATCTTCCAAACAGATTTTTACAAGAAAAATGTTTGTATTATAGTGGTGTTCCTGCTTGCTGCCCAGCTGTGCTGATTCATGAATTTAGGTGTCCCTGAAGAAATCTGGAAACCTCATGGAGGAAGGAAAATAAAGTACCATGAAAGGTATAATTTCTCACGCTTTTACGGTGCTGCAAGGAGAAACTGTCAGGCTTGGTAACTGTATGCACAGGCAGGCTTCACCATGCTAACTACAAATTCAGAAAGGCAAAAGTTAGCCCCCCTGTGTGTTCAAAATGAGCCACTTCTGGAAATAAAGTCTTGTGATTTTCCCTTACTTAGTGGCCAAAGGAATAGAACTTTCTCCATCCTTTTTCTCCTCACCTCTGTGATGTAAGCTTGTATATGTGTTTGTATTATGCTACTGTAGGTGTGTGTGTGTGTGTGTGTGTGTGTGTGTGTGTGTGTGAGAGAGAGAGAGAGAGAGAGAGAGAGAGAATATGCATGACGCGCATACACATGGAGACCAGAGGTTGATGGCAAGTGTATTCCTCTAACTCTTTGCACCTTGATTTTTTTTTGATATATCATTTCTCAGTGAACTGAGAGTTTATGATTTCAGTTAGGTTGGCTTGCTAGTGAGTCTCTGGGATCTGGAAGTTTCCCACTCCTCTGCTGGTGCTGGGGTGATAGGTGCCTGCTGCTGTACCTGGCTCTGTACATGGGTGCTGGGGATCTGAACTCAGAGTAGAATGCAGTTTTCTGACTGTGCCATCCTTCCAGCTCCCAGGAACCAATTTCTTTCTCTCTCTCTCCCCTCTCTCCCCTCTCTCCCCTCTCTCCCCTCTAATATAACCTATTCAACCATGAACAAATCCAGCTAATCATGCAGACAAAAACATGGCTGTGGAAATGGAGAAATAAATTAATCTCTCATGAAAAACTCTTCGAGAGAGCTCTGACTGCTTAGGCATTTACACTTCTCAGACTGCAGAGGGAGGAATCTCTGAGCAGAGGACATTTCCAACTGGCTTTGGATCATCGTTTAGAAAACATACAATCCCAGATAATGAAAACAAACATATGAACACAATTTTCCTGTCTCTGCAGTTTTCAGAGAAATCCACATTTTCTCATGAATTTAGAGAATTGCAAGCTCAGAGAGAAGTTTAACCACATCGTAATGAAAAGCCACAGGGGAGTGGCCAGCTCCCTGCTGAAAGAGAGACTTAAATTACCTCCATGGGATCTCTACCTATCTACGCTGTCCAGTTTTAAAAAAATACACTTCAAAATTGTGATATGGGCAGCAACATTAGAAACTGCTTGGTTGACTGAATTTTTACTTTTGCAGGATTGTGAACAAAAGCTTGTTCCCAAACCCGCACCTCTGAGACTGGCCCAACAGTTTCAGCTCCAATGTAGGGATAGAGTTGAGAACAAGGTACCCAAGAGGAAACTAATTCTTGGACTTCTGAAAGTCAACCCAGCCAAGTTCCCAGAATCTGTCCTCTGAACAGATCTCTGGTACAGAGACCTTAACTTGAGCTAGAAAAGGAAGGAGAGACCAGGGTATCAATGGGTTTTCACAGCAATCTTATCTTCTTATAGCCAGACCCCTGGCAAAACATTTGCTCATCCCACAGTGTCTTCTGGGAGCTTTCTGTGTGCCATGTGATGGATGGGTTAGGTAGTGAAGATGTAGGAATGGACAAGACCAAGGCCACTTACTGCCTTCATGAAGTAAATTCCTTCTCTGCTATTGGAATGTATAGTTTGATTTTCTTATTAGCAAACTTAGCCTTTGTCTCTCTTACAAAGCTTTCTGAGGTGGCTGCTAAAGTCCTTTTCTAGGTTTTCTATTTGCTTTGACACGTGGTCCCATGTAACCCAGGCTGGCCTCTAACTTACTATGGAGCTGAGGGTGATCCTGAACTTCTGATCGTCCTACCTCCATCTCTAGAGTGCTAGGTTCACAGGCATGCACCACTATATTCAGTTTAGGAGATGCCAGGGATAGAACTTGAGGCCTTATGCAGAGGCCTCAAGTGAACCTCAAGCTCTGGATTGGTAGCCCATGGGGAGGGAAGGAGTCCAGGCAGGTGAGCTGAGTACCAAGAAACATTAAGGTGGACTTAAAAAATCCCGGAGAGAAAATGATGACACTCTTGCCTTCCAGAGGCAAATGGGGCTCTCACTATAATATAATATAGAACTCTGTAAAAGTGACAAACAGCTCAGCTTTATGTGATAGTCGGCATGAACTCCCAAATCAGATGGATTTGTGATGCTCAGTGAAGAAAAAAATGCAAACATCTGCAGAGAAGTTGAGATAGTTAACATTTAGGGGGGTCAGGAAAACGCTAGAGAGGAGCAATTGTGCTCTGCACACTGCATAAACAAGATTAATTAGCTGCAGCTACATTGATTTTTTTTTAAGTATAGAATAAAGGCAGCATAGTGAGGCAAGTGACGGGCATGAAACTCAAATCTGTGTTCTTTCTGTTCATCACAGCGCTCTCCAAAACAACTGGGAACTCCCAAGTATTCTGCTTATCTGGAAATTATTTTTTGCACAGTCTATAGTATATACCCCCAGTTTAGGATGTTTTCTTTCCCTCGTGGAAGACCATCACAAGAAAGTTTAAAGCAACACTGGGAGTTGAGGTGAATGACATAGGCATCCATGCCTTCTCTTTTCCATTTAAAGGGTCATTTACACTTCCACATTAGCAACACGGTGTCACTAGGCAGGAGCTCTTATTTCTCTTCATGTCAACATGACTGGAAATGACGGTACCAATCATGGTTCTAGAGAGCCATATATGCTCAAAGAATTAAAACATAGTCAGCACGTACAAACTGAGTTTGTACTTCTAAATGAAATGAGAGTACATTGGAGCATCATTTAAACTGTCAAGTTATAAAGCACGCAATGTGGGGAACAGGCATTCAACCAGGTACTCAAAGCCAAGAGCCTGAAAACAAAATGCAAATGTTCTACTTGTTTATGATGGGTGAAGCTTGGCTCTGTCACATCCTAGCTGGGGTCTGGACTTAAAAGCAGGCATGTTTGAAGAGTGAAATAAACATGAGAGGGACTGGAGAGGCTGCCTCTGATTCTCATTCTTAGGTCTGTCACTCAAGAGGAGGTGGGGCAGCGGGGGAATGAAAGAGAGACCTTTCTTGAGCTGAGGTGCTGCTGCTGCTGCTGGAAACATCTCCCTGACTCAAGTGTGCATGCGTGCAAGTGTGCACGTAGATACATGTGCTCATGTGTGCACCTGTGTGTAGACTAGAAGGCTGCTTCAGGTATTCTTCCTCAGGACACCATTCATAGGTTGTTGCTCTTGTTGTTATTTGTTTGGTTGGTTAGTTTAATTTAATTTTGTTTTTGAGACAGAATTTTTCACCGAACTTGCCAAATAGTCTAGGATGGCTGGCCAGGGAGTCCCAGAGATCTTCCTGTCTCCACCTTCCCAGAGACTGTATTACAAAATAGCATCGGTATGCCTAGCCTTTAAAAAAAATTAGTTATTAATATAGCTTCAGGAGATCAAACTCAGGTCTACATGCATGTGCTTTACTGACTGAGTGATTTCTCTAGCCTCATTTTGTTGTTATTTTGAAATAGGATTCCAGAAATTGGCTGTATAACAAGAATGCCCAGAAATTCTTCATCCCCTATCTCCACACTGCTGAGATCATGAGTGTACTATGATTGTTGGTGTTTCTGGGTAGTTTTAAGATCCTGAAATTCCAATAGGCTCCCCTGACCCATATCCCTTAAATATCAATGCTGAGGTGAGCCCCAGAACTTAAGGGAGAGTGCGTCCCTCTATGGGAAGGCAGACAAATTAAAAAAATGTACATGGACAATCTTGGGAACCATCAGAGGGCAGATGGTTTTGAATCTCATGGTGCAAAATCTGGATGGACAGGAAAAAGCCCATAACTCGGCAGTTTAGTGGTTTAGGGGAACAGACATTCTGTACAGGTATAAAGAGAACACTAGGAGGGGGCGAAAACATGGAATATAACTCTTACTCTTTCAACTTAGAGGATTGAGAAGGGTAGGGTAGTTCAGCAGTAGTACATTTGGCCTAGTATGAGCAAGGCCCTGTCCAATTTCTAGGACAGCTGGAAAGCAAAAAGAAGAAAAGAAAGTGAGTAAGAATGGATGGATTAAAATGCACCAAGAATAATCTTTAGGGAATGTTGACTGTGGGGTGTGCGGTCTAGCTCAAATCTGGAAAAGACAAAATGTGTGATGGATATGAAGAACATGTCACTCTTGCTGTACTTGGCAATAAGATGTTAGCACAGGGGACACCATATGTTTGATTTTTACATATTTCTTCTCAGTAGGAATAGGGAACACACATACACACACATACACACACCAAAAACAAACAAACAAACAAACAAACAAACAGGAAAAAGCTGATACTTTGATCTTTGGTTATAATCTAGTGGAGGAAAAGACACATTACTCCTTGCCCACAAAGCTCTACTGTGGCCTGCACAGTCCATGTGAATGGCAACTAGCAGTTACCATAGGGCAGTGTTGTTCCAGGGTATTACGGGAAATGGTGAGAGGAATTAGCCTGTAGCACGGACTCTGTTGACAACTCCAATGCTACAGCAAAAAGGGAGTCAGGGCAGGAGGTCAGACAAGGCAAGCTGCTTCCCAGTCCTGGAGGGAAGGGTAAACACTAGCAACATAGCCCAGGGATAAACAAGACTTTGGTAAAATCACTGGAGAAGACTCAGTGGCCCTTAGCACATGCAGGTGGCTAAAGCATGTTCATCTTCTGTCCACACTTCTGAGATCCCACACTGTGGGATGAGGAAACCTCAGTGTGGAGAGTGAGAGGGGGTGGGGAATCCGTGATTGCTGTGTTGACCAGCAGGGTGCCCTACCCTGGCTTTACACTGCTGTCTGTGCCCTTGATGACTTTGACATTCTCTGACCCCCCGGAGGATGGGACCTTACTTGTCACAAGTTAACAGATCTGATGTTTACATTTGCTCTGAAGGTGCAGGGATTTGAGTTTGTAAACATACTCTCCACAGGCCATCCCCTACATCCTGAGGAATGGATGCCATTCTGTCCACACAACATCCATCAGCGAGGTTGCTCTAGACCTCTTAACACTACTACAGCTCTTGGCTCAAGAAACATGAACTTGGAATTCCCTCTTACCCTTCTTGCCCACATTTGAGAGGATTCGGGGGAGACATCTTCCATGGTGAGGTGGGACTTGTTATGATGTGACCCACACAGCCCTTGGATGTTCTTCATGTTCTCAGCTGGGACGAGTTTGTATTTGTCAGTGGTGTTTTTCACCGGTTCTAAGATGTAGGTTTTATTTTCAAACACGATTAGTCCCCTGTTAAGAAGGTAATACAAATATTAATTTTTAAGGACAGTACCTCATTTATGGTGAAGATAGATCTTTTTAAAGTATTTGCTTTTGCTTATTTCTCTCTTTCTGTATGTGTGTGTGCGTGCACGCACACACACATGCACACATGTGGGCTCATGTATAACACATGTGTGGAGAGGTCTAAGGAGGCCAGAAGACAATGTTGGTTTCCAGAACTGGAGTTACAGATGTTTGTGAGACACCCAGGATGGATGCTGGGAATCAAGTTTTGGTCCCTTTGGGTGCTATTAGTCACTGAAGCATCTCTCTAGCACCCAGGATACAGTTCTTAATGAAAGAGAAAACAAAAGGGGAAATCCTGACTTATTTGTATTTTTAAGCTTTAGTTGGAAAAGACATTGATATGGTTTGTATTTGTCATTCACTTTTGAAATTGGTTGAAAACCAAGTTTGGGGATTTCACTTGTTCCAAATATTTTTATAGTAAAGAACAGACTTCATTGTGCCTCTCTGTTTCTTGGGTTTTTTTGTAAATCTCAAAGATATATTACTACGAAAAAGAGTCTGGCAAAAAGATCCATGTGACACTAAGTGCATCTGAATTAGCTCAAAAAGGAAACTTTCCCTTCTCTTTAAAAAATATAGTTTCTGCTCTGAAATAATTTGTCCTAGTCAAACCTGTTTTCTAAATCTTTGAAGAGATTCAGATATAAAAACGGGGGAAGATTTATAATGCTTTAAAAAAAGTTTTCTTATTTAATCTATGGGAGATGAACATGTCAAAGGACCTATCTGAGAAGCCACCGTGGACTGAATGTGAAATGTAGCCTGCCCCCCACAGCTCCAGTGTTGTGACTGGTGCTCCCCAGGTTTCAGTGCTGTTTGGGAAGGCTGCAGAACCTTTAGGAGACAGAGCCTTGTTGGAAGAAGTGGGTCAGGTGGGTGGGACTTGAGGTTTTATAGCCTGGTCCTACTTTCTGTCTATTCTGTACTTCCTGACTGTGGTGGAATATGGCCAGAAGCCTCTAGCTCCTGCTGCCATGCTCTCCTGGCCTGCTGACTGTATCCCTTGCATTCTAAGTCAACGCAAACCTTGCCTCTCTTAAATTACCTCATTAGGTATTTTCCCATACTAACAAGAAAAGTAATTAATACCGTACCCCAACATTTAAGCGCCAATCCTTGGATGTATATGTGGTGATAGCCTTAAGCCAATTGGGAGTTCATTTTTATCTCTCTCTCTGTGTGTGTGTGTGTGTGTGTGTGTGTGTGTGTACTCATATGGAGGCCAAAGGTCAATTTTATGAATCTTCTTTGATCACTTTATACCTTATTCTTTGAGGCAGGGTCTCTCAATCAAATTCAAGGGTCACCTATGACCAGTGGTACTTGCTCTGGGGACCACATGCCTTCCAAAGCTGCAATTACAGCTGTTATGGTCATCAGGCATTTACTTGTAGTATTCTGGGGATCTGAACTCCAGTCTTCTTGTGTGCACATCAAATGGGAAACCCTTTATAGAACTGAGGAACACCGTGGAAGCTTCTCTGTCTTGTAGCTGGGCAAGAGCATCCTGGCACCCTGGGGCTCCAAGTTCAAGCTCCAGCTCTGACACTTCCTAGTTATTATGTTTAGGCTCCCGAGTGTCCTAAACTTGCTTTCTTCACCCGCACTATGTGGATAACAGTAACTTCAGGGCACAATTGCTACACCACTCAGTGAGACCTTTCAGCTCCACAGGCAACCAAGTTACTGTTTAAATTGTAGCATCTCTCTTCCTTGGATAAGGACAGATCCCCATATCAGGCTGCTGTTCACAGGTTTTTCCAAAGACTGATAATTTTAGGCAAATCTCATGCTTTGTGAATGTATCTTACCCACAGGAATGCTGGCCATCTGTTGCTCCCTGATATTAAATGCAGCACTCATAAGATAAACACCCTTCTGGGAATGACAATGACCCAAACAGAACCTTGTGAGCCAACAGTTAGGCTTGGAAATAAAAGTGTATAGTTTTAAAATACATGGACAAAGAAACCCTGGGTGAAGCAGTGGCTTAGAAGCCAAATCTGAGCGAGTGACTGATTATGGTTAGGGAAACAAAGAAAACAGGGGTATCTCATAACTCCCTCATCAGCCTCCAGAATCTGCTTGATCAATGTCACAGCTAACTTTCTTTACCACCAGACCAACAAACTTCCTATACATTGAACCTGGATTCACTGCTGCCATGGATGCAGAATCCAGCCAACTCCAACAGTCTCTCAGCAAACTGGGCTAAAAGCCCTCATCCAGAAAACCTACAAAAGGTGAGCTAATGGAGATTTTTATTGACTGGGTCCCAGAAAACTGCCACCAGGACCCCATTAATGTCTCAGTGGGACCAGTGAAACAGTGGGAGCCATGTACAAGCTCTAGGCAATGCTTTGGGCACTGTACAGCCACCCCTGCTGAGACTCTGTGAATTGGAGCATGGCAGCCACATGGAGACTACCTCAGCTATCCCTGGGCTCACAGCACAGAGCCAAGTAGCTCATTAAGAAAACTCCATGGAGAGCTGGAGCTAGGAACTCCTGAGAGAAGAACAGGACTGCTGAAAATCAACAAAGAGGAGAGCTCAGAGCAGAGCAAGGAAGGCAATGCAGCGATCTGCCCAGGGAGACAAAAACCAACATCCAGGCCTCTCACTGCAGTCTCTTCAATCTCTGTTGAGTTTCCAGCCCCACTCCCTAGTTAATCCTCATCTATATACTCCAGGCAGTGTAGCAGAACAGCACATCGCCCATGCTTGTGCTGTTCGCCCTATTTCTTTTCTCTTTCCCCATCTCCTTTCCTCCTATTACATCAACTAGAGCCCAAAGGCTGACCTGGTAGATGACATCATAGTCTATATCTTTATCCCACTCTGTCACTTACCATTAACTCTCCACTCCCTTTCCCTCCTTGCCTCTATTAGTTGTACTCTTCCTCTATGTGTGTGTTCTCAGTGGATTCCTACTCTTCTGTTTTTGCTGGTTTTAAGAATGTACTATGTATGACACAGGATGCCTCTTTTCCAATCTTGTCTATTCTGTGTTCTGTGTCCTTCTTGAATCTTGGTTGGCTTCTGGAATCTAGGGAGATTTGGGGATTTTCTTCTGTGGTTATTTTCTTCTGTGAAATAGTTTCATCTTTTGTATGAAATTCTTCTCCCTCTTCAGTGTCTGTAATTTGTAATTTTCGCCTGTTTGGGGTGCTCCCCTTTCTCTAGTTCCCATCTAGCAACATAATAATGAACCACTCACTATGACTTCTCGCTTCCATTTCTTTTCCTCCCACTCATACCCACAATCACTAACATCCGTATAGACCATCTGGGTTCCTTTACTCACTAGAACAATCGTTATTTAACAAGAGTCTGTTTTGTAGCCACCTGCTACTCACTCTACTCTGAGAGTCAGTTAACTGCTAGAGAGTGCCTATTCCTGCAGTCAGTATCAACTCACAGGGTTGGACTAATGATCAATCTTGGTGCCTGCACAAGTTTGATGGAGGGAAAGCTCACCCATCAGGACTCTGCTACAACCTGGTCTCTCTTGAACTGTAAATCTCTCCACTGAATGAAGAGATGTGGCCTGAATTAAAAGAAGAAAGAAAATCCTAGTCAACCATCTGCCATCACATGGGAAGATCCTAGTACAAAACCTGAAGAGATCTGAAAAATCAGGACTTTGTGTCTCCTTCTACACCAATCCACGGATAGTCTTGGCTCCTGATGAGAAGGACTTAGACAAAACTCTAGTCGCAAAAATCAAAGAAATGATTGTAAATATGTTCATACAGCTTGTGGAGGATGCAAATATTCTCCCAGAGAGCACAAACAAGACTAAGTAAGGAAGTCAATTCATGATCCGGAAATAGAAAGTAAAGTAATACTGAAGTAAAGAAATCCTAGCTGGGCGGTGGTGGCGCACGCCTTTAATCCCAGCACTTGGGAGGCAGAGGCAGGTGAATTTCTGAGTTCGAGAGTTCGAGGCTAGCCTGGTCTACAGAGTGAGTTCCAGGACAGCCAGGGCTACACAGAGAAACCCTGTCTCGAAAACCAAACCAAAAAAAGAAAAGAAAAGAAATCCTGAAGAAATTAGGATGGAGATGAAAACACAAGAGATAAAATGAACAGTCGTGTATAAAGCCTCCTCAATAGAATATGTCACAATGGAATATCTGGGCTTGGAGACAAAATAGAACAAGCAGATCAGCCTATCAAGGCCAATAATAGATTATAAAATGTATGGGTGGAACATACACGGATGTGGGCATACCACAGACAGGTAAAAATGACAAATTATGCTCACCAAAGTGGGAGAAGAATTTCATGCAAAAGATGAAACTATTTCACAGAAGAATATCCCTAAATCTAGGGATAAAGAAGCTAACCCAGAAATAAGAGGGACACAGAACACTCAATAGACAAGACTAGGAGAGAAGCTTCCTGTGTCATATTACATTTTAAAATTAGAAAATACGGAACAAAGGAAGTACACTGAAAGCTTCAAAAGAGAAGAATCAGGCTACAAGGAAAGATAAGACCATTAGAACAATTGCTAACTTTTCAATCAAAACTATAAAAGCACAAGAGCTTGGGATGAGGCATTTCTTATCTAAAGGGTCACAAGTGCCAACCCAGCTTAATATAACCTGCAGAACCATCTATCATAACTGAAAGTGAAGGAAACACTTTCCATGGTTAAGACAGGCTAAAGGAATTCATGACCATCAAACTGCTCCTACACAGAACACCACGGTGAATACTTGGGATTGAAGTGAAAGATAAACATACTGAAGAGGCTAGTGGAAGAAAAAAAATAAATGATGGATAAGAGAAGTTAAACACGACTTCCGGTCTGGGCCCGAGCATAGAGCAGGTCACAGGCGGCAGCGCCGTACCCAACCCCAGAAAACCAAGAGAAACAGGGACTCCCAGGAGCTTGAACTCACGCAACATCCCAGGTAAAAATGAATCA